AGTGTTTTATAAAATGACAAAGTTTAGGTAAAATCTGTCGTCATGGTTTCTTACGACTTCTTTCCAGGGTTTTGCCAGACCTGCCCTTGTTGCCCACGGGACACGGCATGACCCGCTCACCCTAGTTATGGGTTGGCAGCTGCAAATGATCTTCTGGATGAGGTCATCTGTATTGGGGATTTTCGGCCAGCTCGCGTCCCTATTTCCAGCGGTATGCCAAGAGTTTTGTTTCGTATGATGTAAGCAGTGTTTATGAGGCTTATTTTATGAGCAGGGACTCCTTTTCTGTGGGAGAGCCCTGGGGGACATGCTAAAAAAATATGAAATACAATTCTGACTTTCAATCTCAGAATTCTGACTTTCAATCTTAGAATCATGACTTTCAATCTTAGAATCATGACTTTCAATCTTAGAATCATGACTTTCAATCTCAGAATTCTGACTTTCAATCTTAGAATCATGACTTTCAATCTTAGAATCATGACTTTCAATCTCAGAATTCTGACTTTCAATCTTAGAATCATGACTTTCAAACACAGAATTCTGACTTTCAATCTCAGAATTCTGACTTTCAATCTCAGAATTCTGTCTTTCAATGTCAGAATTCTGACTTTCAATCTTAGAATTGTGACTTTCAAACACAGAATTCTAACTTTCAATCTTAGAATTTAGTTTCATGTTTTTTTTTAGCATTGCCCCAGAGGACATTGAACATTAGTCACATTAGCCCCCGGAATAAATATACATTCCAATACGCACAGTGGGGGGGGCAATATTTAGATGGAAGTGCGGGGCAACCTGACAGAGTCGCTTGAAACACCAACCCCCCACCCACCTTTGCTGCATGGCGGCCTGGCAATTGGCTGCTCCTACCCAAGCTCTGCATCCTGGAGGGCCACCTAATGCTCTCCTATAACAGGAATTTTAGATGCTTGGGAGGTAGGTATCATTTGGCCAGGCAACGGGCTTGCATAGCTCCAGACATCGGGTTCATCTCAACTTGGAAGGAGGTGAGACCCTGCATACAGCCTGGGCCTTGGATTCAAGGGGCAACCCAGGAATTAGGGTTGCCACCTGTCCAGGATTCACCCAGACAGTCCGGGTTTCATGGCAACAGAAACCTGGACACAAGGTGTCAGGCAGACAGGGGCCACCAAACTTAAGATAGGGGCTACTGGCCCCCCCACGGAAAATAGTCTCAACTGTGATATTTACATATGAATGGGCGGCGCTATTTACATATGAATGGGCGACGCTATTTGCATATGAATAAGCCGCGACTCATTCTCTCAAGAAAAAAATGTCCGCGCATCGCTAGAGTGTTCGGGTTTCACTTGAAAAAAAGGTGACAACCCTACCAGGAATTGATATGAAGCAGGACCGTGACTACAGATCACTCTCTCTCTAAGCTGTGAATAATGATGCTAAGATCACAAAGGTTCCTCTGCATCTGAAGTCATCTTTACACTGTAGACTTTATGAGGAGATAAGGGTTGTCATCAAGTGAAACCACTCCACCACCTAATGATACAGGACTGTATTATCTTCACATGTTCTAGGTTAAATTTGCCTCAACAACCTAATGGGGCCCCTTTCACCCCCAGGCCCCATAGCAGCCAACTGAGCTGCTATAGCTATAGTTACACACTGATATGAAGACTACCATAGGTGCTCTAAGGAGCCAAAAGGTTCCTTCGCTTCAGCACAGATCTTAACTCTATAGGCCAGCTTGGGGTCTACAGTTCAGCTCCCTTGCAGGCCATCTGGACTGGAGGATGATAAATTTTGTATTGTTTTTGCTGTGATTTGGGTTTTCACCTCCCTAGCCATAGCTTTAATCCTGCAACTTGATTGCTCATAGATGGACACTGCAGTCCTGCATTGGCCTGTAGGATGGGCATTTGATTGACAGGTCATCTATTGCAGTTTTAAATACTCCCCTGTCTGATAACATATACAGTATAGTAAGCATTGAGTCAGCATCTACTGAAAGAACATTAAACGTTCTTACCTTCCAAACCTGAATCTGTGACCTTAAAATTTTCCTCCTCAAAGTCTTCAGACAATCTCAGCGGGCCTTCGGATTGTTTGAAAGGAGTTACAGTAAGTGGTTCCATATTTTGGGGCTCACTCTGAAGGCAGTTCTTTATAGACGGAACACCATTTCTGGAATCCAAGACAGCGTCTGGGAACCTCTGGCTTTGTTGGTTACCTTGAAGGTAGGCCATAGATGCCGAATGTCCATTCCCTTGTATTCGGGTAGACAAAGAGGATTTTTGATAGAAAGAGGGTTCTTTAACAGTTTTGAGAGGGTCAGCCAAGTGCCCAGTTGACTTCTCGTTGGCCGAAACATCTCTGACGTACTGATTCTGAACATTGTCAGCTTTGGTGAAAGAATTTGCTCTCTGCATCAGGGAGCGGAGTCGTTCACTTGAGGAATGAAATTCGGATGGCTTCATGTTATGGTTAAAGTTTGACTCTTGAAGAGAATCCTGGTGGATGGAAGGTGGCAGACGAGAACCTGAAATGGGTGGAGCATTATAGTTAAGGGAGTTTGACCTCCCGATAGATGCGATCTGTGGTTGACTTTTTAAGGTGACATCTGTCTTCTCCTTGCTTCCTTGAGGAGATACGCCAGGTGTGGAGTTGAGGTTAACTCTAAGCTGTGTCCGAGGCAATGGCCTATTGAACTGCTCTGGGATGGAACCATTAGGTTTTCCAAAAGGGCTCTGAAGAGACAATGGGAACTTCTGAAGAATAGTTTGTTGAAGAGGACCAAAGATGGGCGGTGGAGAGGGGGAAGGAGCCATGTCACAGTTGATGGGTGCACAATCAGTGGGAGGTGAAGAAGAAGATGAAGATGAGGAGAATGAAGGTTCCCTGCTTATGGATTTGGCATTCCTTGAAGAAGGTCGCTTGTAATCTGGAGTGGGAGAGCTCCATCCTTCTGATGGTGGATAGCCAGCATCTGGAGAAGGAACCAGGTCAGGAACATTGTCTTCGGCAATGTGAAGGTCAAGAGATGGCAAAGAACCGTGGTTTTTAGTAGTCACGGGCACCAGACGGACCCCTGGCCGCTCGATTTCTGAGTGAAACACATTTCCATGTGATGAAAACTTCTTCAGGACTGGACTGGTCACATTAGAAATGGTGATGCCAGACCCATGCTGGCCCACCGAATTCTGCGTTGGACGGATTGGCTGGAAGGGTTTGGTAGGTGGCGGGCACTCCAAGCTAGAAGTGGAACTGTGGAGACTTTCGCTATCGCTTCCATGTCCAGAAGATGAAAAGCCGCTGGGATGGAGCCGAGTCTGGAACGAAGAAACGCGAGTGAGGCCTTGCCCCGCCGATCCATTGGTCTTGTCCATTTGCATCGTACCACGGTTGAAGGACAAGCTGCTGGTGATCCTGCTCTTGAGGACCGGACTCTGGGACGGGCTACAGCCTGAGCTGATGCGGATGCGGGACTGATAGAGTGGCTGGTGGGATCCAGCAGATAGTTGGCTGTCCCCGTTGCTGGCTCGGGTTACATTATTTGGATTTGGACTGAAGGCGGAGCTATGTGTAGACGTTGGTGAAAACACGGGAGTGTCGTCGATGTCCTCCATGTCGAAAGACCTTTTCAAGGCTGCAGATAAAATAAACAAAAGATAAAAAGGCATCATTATTACGAGCGCCAATAAAAATCATAGCGGAAGAAACTTATACAAGCAAACAGAACTGAGTCATACATTGGGACTTTCCACCCCTAAAAAAGCATCTTCTGAAAAGGAATCTCACTTTATGTCTGCTGTAAAACAATCAAGCACAAAAACCACAAGAACCACAGGAGAGCATATGGAGTATGGACTTCAGAACAAGACCAGTGGCATGGAACCACCAAGACATGTCACTCAGGTAGCCCGAAGCCAATGGAGTTAAGGACGGACAGACATACCAATAGTGTGCTTCTCATCCCCTGACCCTCAACCAATCTTTGTAATCATGCCAGAAAGTGAGACCTTACTACAATAAATAGCAACAATGGTCAACGGCAGTGTCCACCTAGTCCTATATAAAGTGTAACACCAGCCAGAACTTTATTTCTTATTTTGGGTAGAGTGAGGTGGGGTCAGAACCTCGGTCAGGTCCGAGTTGTTGTGCAGGTCTTCTCTGGGGAAAGCCAACCTCACGAGTTGCCCAAGGGACCCTTGTGACCAGGAACAAGTGCATACTTACCAACCTTATGGTCCCGGTGTTCTGTCGAGGTGGCCAACTCGGCGAGATCTCCAACTCGTGACATCTCGTCCGTTGTAGATCTCGATGAGATGGCGCTGGTGCGCGTGCGCCAGCCGTCACAGTTTTTGCAATCCTCGTTGACTTCACCACTTGCCGTAGGTGCGCCTGTGCGGCTTCCAAATTGTCATCGAGTTCTCCAACTCCCGTCGGTGCTTGCAGCATCGGGTGCCCACGCAGGAGCAGTGCCGCAGATTGTACAGCTTGATACTTGTCTAGGGTGGCTGCGCAGGCGCACTGACTGGAGTTGGAGATCTCGACGAGTTGGAGAATTCGATAGAACACAGGGTCACCGTTTGTACAGCTTGATACTTGTCTTGGGTGGCTGCACAGGGGCACTGACGGGAGTTGGAGGTCTCGACGGAGATAGGACTTTCTCTCATTTTGAAAAGATGTCTGCTGACTTCCTGTTGTGTCTCTGAGGACAGGATGTGAGGGGAAAACATTTTCAGGGGAGTCACAACTTAGACAGCGGTTACACTTAAGCTGAGAGTACGAGCAGAACAAAACGTCCATTGAGAGGAAAGCGGCCCTCCAAGTCTCCTCGCTCAGCAGAGGGAACCGAGAACAATACGACTAATTATTAAACCAGCGATCCCGATTGCGTAACGTTGCGTCCACCTCGGAGGGGTCCGCAGCCGCTCCATATAAGGTTTTATCGCAGCAGCCGGGAGCCTGACATAATAACACTGAAACTTCCAAAGCCACAATATCCTTTCTCCATTAAAGGTAGGGAACAATGGGGGTCTGTGTGCGAGGAATGCGGGCAGAGGTGCACAGCTGTGGCAGACATTTGTCTGTCGGTAGTCCCGCCACCGTTCTGTATATAGACAACTTCTACCTTCCCCATAGAAAGATCTTACAGCAAGGAATGCGCTTTTCTACTCGCAGGACATCGCAGCTTTGTATCCTCTGCCCAGAACGGACGCAGAGCATCAACTTTCCGGGGTGGACAGAATAATAGAAACTCAGGGCGGATAGAAATAATACAAAGTAATCATCAACATTTATAAGACACAAGCAGTATAAAGCCGGTGTTCTATCGAATTCTCCAACTCGGCGAGACCTCCAACTCCCGTCAGTGCGCCTGCGCAGCCACCCGAGAGAAGTATCAAGCTGTACAAACAAGTGACCCGGTGTTCTATCGAATTCTCCAACTCGTCGAGACCTCCAACTCCCGTCAGTGCCCCTGCGCAGCCACCCGAGAGAAATATCAGGCCCCATTCACACTGAGCTATTTATCGCGCGGTATTGCGGATATTTACCGCGCGATATCGCTCTCCAATGCATGGCAATGGGGCTCTGTCCGTCGCTGTCGTGGGTCGTGCGTCGCTACAGCAGGACCCTTTTTCGAGCGGATTTTGCCGCGATTCAAGTTTGCTCAATGCAACCATTTGCGCGATATCGCGCAACAAACAGCGCGATATCGCACAAAATGCAAATCGCGCGACAGACGCGCGATTTGCCGAACGCTCAGTGTGAATGGGGCCTTAAGCTGTACAAACAGTGACCCGGTGTTCAATCGAATTCTCCAACTCGTCGAGACCTCAAACTCCCGTCAGTGCGCCTGCGCAGCCACCCGAGAGAAGTATCAAGCTGTGCAATCTGCGGCAATCTGGGGCCCCCAATGCCGCAAGTGGAGAAGTCAACGATGATTGCAAACACTGTGACGGTTAGCGCACACGCACCAGCGCCGTCTCGCCGAAGTCTACAACGCACGTGGCGTCACGGGTTGGAGATCTCGACGAGTTGGCCACCTCGACAGAACGCTAGCCATACACTTTGTGAGAACCGGACAAAATTGGCACAGTGGGTGCCCCTGTCGCTCAATCAGCTGATCGAAGAAGCCAATTGGAAAATCTTTGGCCGAACAGAGTTTGCAGCCAATCAGCTGCACGCACTGTTTGGGTTTCAGACAGTGGCCCCTTGTCCTAATATAATGGAAACAGCAAAGGGATTCCTCCATCCACGCTCCTAAGCCCCCTCTTCCTCAGTCTCCCCTCCCCCAGTGATCAGTCTGCTGCAGGCAGGAGGAAGCATTTCCTCAGTCTCCCCTCCCCAAGTGACCAGTCTGCTGCAGGCAGGAGGAGGCATTTCCTCAGTCTCCCCTCCCCCAGTGAGCAGACCTCAACATTGTAACAAACCATTAGGGGAGAGGTGGCAGCAGGGGGCTGATCCGTGTCAAGAGATTTGTGACTACCAAGAAGCACACAGGCATCAGGATTTACATCAACTGAAGATTGCAGCACTTGAAGTGAGACAACCAAAAATCACTACAAGAGCGTTTCTAGAAGAATCACAGACCACAGCGGCCCTGAGCCGGCACAGTGCAGAGATTGTGGAAGGGCCCAGAGAATACAGACTCCATGCAGACGTCACAGAGGTCAGGTGCCTTCACTTTCCACTCACCTGACATGTTGTGCAGTAAATCGTCTCCTCCCAGCAGGCCGTACACATCTGATGGAAGAGGTCATGTGTAAACTTGTACCGGAGGAACATTCACCTCCACAGCAGAGTACAGACAGGTATGTACCGGGGGTCATGTATGTACCGGGGTCATGCATGTACCGGGGTCATGTATGCATGTCAGGGACTGACTGAGCACGGCGTCACTCAGAGCTCTCTCCTCCACATGCGGGGACACCTCCGTACGGTGACCCCGCTTCCTGAGGAGCAAGGAAGGGAGACTGCTACCATGAAATGCTACAACCTTTGCTAGGTTTCACTGTCCCTGTCCATGGCTTTGCCTCACTTCCCGTCTTGGTGACACAAGAACAGGAAGTGAGGGAAATCTGGGACGCAGGCAGCAATTAAAAACATTTGTTGTAAGTACAGTATAGGGAAGCCACAACCCTTGCTAGGTTTTCCCGTCCCTGTGTACCGGTCCATGTCTTTGCCCCACTTCCTGTCTTGGTGACGACGTTGTCACAGGGACAGGAAGTGAGGGAAATCCTGGACACAGATGGCACTGAAAAAGCATTTGTTTTTAGTGCAGTATGGGAACGGTACAACCCTTGTTAGATTTTACTGCCCCTGTGTACCCGTCCATGACTTAGCCTCACTTCCTGTCTTGGTGGCAATGTAGTCACAAGGACAGGAAGTGAGGTAAATCCAAGACACAGACAACAATGAAAAAAGATTTTGTTTTTAGTATGATACAAGAAAGCTAGAACTCTTGCTGGATTTTACTATTCCCGGGTATCTGTCCATGATGTTGCCTCACTTCCTGTGTTGGGGACAATGATGTCACCAGGACAGGAAGTGAGGGAAATCCAGGAAGCAGACAGCAATGAAAAACATTAGTTTTTCATACAGTACTGGAAAGCTACAACCTTTGCTAGATTTTACTGTTCCTGTGTACCCGGCCATGGCTTTGCCTCACTTCCTGTCTGGCAAACTCCGGCATTCTAGCTGTAGTGCAACTACAAATCCCATCCACTTCCTGTCTGTTGAAAACTTTGTCACTGGAACAGGGAGTGAGGAGAAATCCCCGCAATGAGACCACAGACACTCTTCCCTGCATGATACAAAACTGAACAGGAAGAAAGTTTTGACTGGAGATACAATTGAAGTAAATTGGGCTTTAATCGGATGGAGCTGAACAAGGAAACGAGGAAAAGCCCGCATGACTGATGGGTGGAAATGGAGCTGAACATTCGATTCCTGCAAAGATAACGACAGGGAAAATAAACTCTGTCAACACTCACATTCCCCCTGCAGACATACGGGGGGAAAAAAAAGGAACTTAATAATTTGAACCATTGTGCCCACAAATGTCCTCCCCCGGGGCAACGCAACATATGGCGGCCATGTCTCTAACTACCCTGACCGAGGGGACGCCAAGCTGGAGCACACAACAGATTAACTCTTCCCATGGAGGACAGAGCTGGGCTACATTTGTAAATCAGATATCATGTTACATGCATGCAACATGGGGGAATATATCCAAACCGGAGCAGACACAATCTGGAGCAACCAATCAGCTTTTCTCTTTCATTCTTCAAAGCTTAGCTCAACAAGCTGAGGAGAGAAGCTGATTGGTTGCCATGGGCAACTGCTCTGGTTTTGTTAAACTCCCCTGCTGCGTCCAGATGAGGCATTAATCAACATTAAGCCCTAGCAACCTAACCGCCCGTCCGAATGAGGCCTTAGGGCAGGGGTGGGCAAATTCCGGCCTTCCAGCTGTGGTGCAACTACAAATCCCATGAACAGGGATCTCAAGTCTCCCTGATGTTCAGGGAGTCTCCCTCTAATAGATCGCGGCTCCCTGACGTCCGCGAGAGAGGCATTTTCTCCCTGAAAGGTTTACTCTGAGTAAACCTTTCCGGTAAGATATCAGTGGGTAAAGTTTCA